TAAAATAATTTATATATTTTAATTTTTTTTATTTGACCGCACCCTCGACTAACTCCTCATAAAATAATACAAACTAATTAAAGAAATGAACTTGAAAAGTTAAATAACATTCATTATTAAGCTCATTCCAAGAACTTTACATACGCATTTTAATCTTTCTAATTTCAGTTATATGAAGAGGGTGCATATCACTAAAGTTAGTGTTGATTATTTCCTTATGATTTATTAGTATAATTTCATATTTTATTTTCTTCTACTGTTTCCATGGTAGGAGACAACTAATAGCAGTTGCAGATTACAAAATGCCACCTTTAGTACAAATATAAAAAAATAAAAATAAAAAAAAAATGAAAAATTTACATAAGACTTTTTTTAATAACAGTAGTGAGATATGCTATAATCTCACATTCTGTATGATTATAAATTTTCCAGTGTAGTAATTTTCCTTGTGCTAAATATTCTATGCAATACTTAATTTTTTAAGACCTTTAAGCTTTCTTCTTCCTTAAAAATAAGTGGCCATGTTTAACAAATACAATGCCTCACAAGGATCTCATTGCATTGTTGGGAAGTGTCTACTGGGTGATTACTGTAGTCAGTAACACTTCTTTTGAAGTTCCTCCTGATTAGGTCCCTAAGCTAGCCATTGCTGGATTTTATTTCATTGTTGAAAGCAGCATTTCCAGGTGGATGATGTACAGATTTGATAGGTAGATAGGATCAAATATAGATTTGAACAACCTAACAATAAGCTCCTCACAATTTCTTTTTATTATAAAATATCGTTTTCATTAGAGCTCATAAATTTAGGTGGTAGCTGGAAAAAAGATGTTTGTCCTAGAGTATTTTCATAGAAAAGTTTTGAAAATGATGTTACAATATATGAAATCAGCTTTAATTTTTTTTTTTTATTGATTTTCATTATATTATATACCATAAAATAATAAAAAAACTTAACTTTTAGGGTGAATGTCAGATGTACTACATACATATTATAAAAACTTTTATAGTACTATAAAATAAGTATCAAAGAACAGTAGTTCATAAAACTTTTTTCCATAGAGCATACAAAATAAAAATATTTCAACTAGTATTATGAAAGAAAAAAAAAAGCTACAAATTATTAGATAATTCTGAATTGATAACCCTTACTACTTACTTACTTATCCGGCACTACAGTCCAATATGAACCTTGGCCTACCTCACAGTCTGTCTTCCAGCCGTCTCGACCCATCGCCCTCCTCCTCCATGCCGTCACTCCAAGATTAGCCAAGTCCTGCTCTTCATCCTTCAGTCAGTTCTTCTACCTTGGGAATCCTCCTTCATTATCTTTTTTATCATCTGCTCTTCTGGCAATCTTTCAATATGACCAAGCCAACTGAACCTTCTTGATTTAACAAATCTGACTACATCCTCATGTCCTATGATGTCATCAAGCTCCCTGTTCTTTCTAATTCGCCAGGCGTCCTCTAAGCACACAGCAACTGGGCCGTAAATACGTCGTAATATTTTTCTTTCAAAGACCCTTAGGGCTAACTGTTCTGCGACTTTAATTTGGTTTGCTTGGTTAGAAGGCTTGATTCCATCAGTTTCTATAGGCAATAGTAGGCTCTCTTTCCGGCAATGATTATACTTTTAATTTCATCACTTCTCCTGTGCTCGCAGTTTGATTCCACTTCAAGGTAGGTGAATTGGTCAATACCTTCAAAGCGATAGGTACGTATAGGTTGTCGAAGCAGATAATACCATATACTTGGTTTGTCTTCATTAATCACTTGTCCAACTTTTCTTCTTTCATTATCCTATTAGACTAGTAATTCTTTTAAGTAGCTTCAATTCTGCCCAGTATCACAATATCATCTGCATAACCAAAAATCTGCATAGAATGGCTTGCATGGTTGACACTCGGAACAATTTTTTTCTCAGATTTATGGAAGATTAAGCTGATACGGCAACTCCTAGTCTCACTCCTCTTTTGTACGTGATTTTGCAACTGGTTTGATTTCCAATTAGGACACTCGCTTCCATTATAGCCATTGTCATTTCAATCAAATTTATTAATGTATAAGAAATGCCGAAACCTTGGAGAGCTTGATAAAGCTGAATTCTTCTAACTCTATCAAAAGCCTGTTCATAGTTCACAAAAAGCAAGTGCACCCCATTATTGTGCTTGTAGCATTTTTCTTATATCTGTTTCACTAGGAAGATCTAGTCCATAGTCCTTCTGTTTGGATAGAAACCACACTGGTAATTCGTAAGAATCCTTTCAAAGTAGATCTTAAACTTTTCCAATTTGGGAGAGTAATTCCTCTATAATTTTGGCAATGGATCTTATCTCCTTTTTTCAAGATAGACAAGATCAACCTAGAGCACCAACTGGTCAGAATTTTATCTTTTTTCCAGATGCTATAAATTAAATCATCCATCCTTTAATCCTGTAGATCTCTGCCGATTTTAAGGATCTCACAGGAAATATTATCTTCTCCAGTGGGGCAGTTATTTCTTACTGAAGCTAGGGCATTTTCAAAATCCTTATAGCAGAGCGGTTCCCAATTCTATAGATCCACATTATGCTTCTTCCTGAGCTGGACCATTCACATTATTGATAACCGTTATAAACAATAATAAACTGTTTCAAAATCATAATTAGAGAAAAAAAACCTGTCCCACGTCCCATGAAGGGTATTGGGTTCAGTACATTGTAAGAAAGTACAAAGTACTGTTTCATGGTCAACTGTTGTGCATAGAGGTAATTTGGCTTATATCTCACTTGACCATCAGATTTTCCTCCTTAATCAATTATTTAATTAAGAGTGCCTACTTTAAAGAGGTTGGGTGTGGGGCCTTCTGAATCCCGGGGTTGGTCCACGGCTGATGCAACAGAATAAATAATTAGCCTACCTAAATAACACCTACCTGCTATCAGCAAGATTCGAACACAAGACCCTGAACATAGAAAGTCAGGTACGCTCCTTGGCTGCTCGTTGGTATTATTATTCAAAACATTTTATAGTTTTCTTTAATCTTCATAAATGACCAAGATATGGGCAAATGAAACCTCTAATCGACCCGGTTATCTGAACAAAATAGTGGAGGATGATACACAGTTCTGACGACTATGATGGGGTAACAATAGGTTTAGCAATATTTTTATTCTAAAATGCACCAAAACTAAGGAAGAAGATCTAAACTGAAACATCATTGTACCTTTCTGTAGATAAAGGACGGGTAAACATTCAAATCCAACTTGACCATAAATGCCTTTTTTTCAGCTACCTCTATATTACTTATGAACACACAAACAATTCATGAGATTATATTTATAAAAGACTTGACTAACCCGAAGGTTTGACGCCGACACCACTAAGCTGTCTACACACCAATCCTCAACCAAACCCAACCCCATTCAGATCAGCTGTAACGCAATTCATAAGATATCCATAAAGAAGATAAATTTATTTAAAAAAAATAGGTGCTCATTTCAAAAGTTTGTCTATATGATATGAGGCTGATTCCCTCAGATTTGTGGCATGCTAGAGGGTTGATTATATATAGACTGGGGCATTGTTCATAAATGCTTCCTATTCTCCAAGATTCAACAATTTAGTATTTGTATAAAGAGATTTTGTTTTAAAAAAATAATTAAAACAATTTCTTCAAAACTTATTTTGAAATAAATTAAAGCTCCTCTCTACAATTTAAGAAGGATACTTTCCTTTTAAAATTGCACAATCAAAATGAATTTTAAAGTAAAATATAATCTGATCGTGAATAGAGAATGCCTTATTATCTATAGTCAAAATCTCTTTATTTTTCATAACTCTTCTGTCACAAAATGTTTTAAATAAATTAAAACGATATAAAATTTCACATCAAATCATAAGATGGTTTAGTACCTTTATTTGAGTTTTTTATAAGGTATTTAAATTGAATTTTATAATTATTTTATGCATATTTAAAAGAAAAAATATAAATGATCACCTTATTGATTCCTTTGCTATTTTTAAAAATTATAATATAACACTTACAAAAAAGTGATCATACCAAAATAAAAAAGTCAAATTTTTTATCCATGTAGTTGATGCAATTAGGAATAACTTTGCCTATATTTTATCCAGTTGTTCAGGATAAAACCGCCTCCAGTTATAGTAAGTACTAAGCCAATTTTGATTTATTATTATTTCTATTGTTTTTTACATAAGATAGTCTTGTTTGTTTCTTATTTTTTTGTCATATAATTTTTATAATCACTTTTATTGCATGTCTAGAATGCATGTTTGATTATTGTAGATTAATTTTTTTGAAATTTCTATTTTTAAAAAATATTTTCAAACATAATTTGGATTAAACAAACAAACTGTTGTAAATTATATTTATTTTCGTTTTTGTTATTCATAATGAATTAAGATTACATTTTTTAAATACAATGTTTATTGATTTTTTGGTGTAGTAACTTGTATATAAAACTGTACATAAAATATATGTATAAATGTTGTGTATATGTTTATTAACATGTAAGTCTATGTGCGTGTGTGTGTATATATATATATATATATATATATATATATATATATATATATATATATTGAAATATTATGAAATATATTATAGGTTTATCAATTATACTTAAGTGATTTTGTAAATAAAAATGTACTGGAATATAAAACTGGAGACATTTGAATTGTGGTGAATTATCGTTTTGATGCACTCATTATAAATTTTTAATTAGTCCTTATGAAGTGTATATCTGTGATAAAATCTTGTTTTTATTTTATTTATCATAAATTATTTTTTTATAAAGCCATTTGTTTTCTCATTTTCTTTTAGTATACTTATTATTTTTATTGATCATTTATTATTTTTTTTCTAATTTAAATTATTTTCATCTTATTTATTTTATCACAATCAGTTTTATTTCACAAGAGGTAAAAAAAAAAAAAATACTGCAATTCATGTATAGTATTTTAATTGTTTTTTGTTTTGTTTTTTTACTATTGCAGATTTTTGTACGTGCTCAATTTGACTATGATCCTTTAGAAGATGACCTTATCCCTTGTGCTCAAGCTGGTATTTCTTTTAAAACTGGTGATATTCTTCAGGTAATAATTTATATGTAAAATAAAATAAATTAATTAATTACTTATCTCACTTTTTGGTTTCATATTCCTGTAAAAGATCGTAATTTATATATATAGTAATTGTTTTAGTTAAAATAGTAGTGACTTACAAATAATTTAACTAGCAAAGTTTTGTGATATGCCACAATGTTCAGATGAATCACATCTTCAGGACAATCTTCTAGTTCAGAATAGTGGCTGAAAGTTCACAAAACTGAGAACTCTAAAAAATAATTACTGCTTCTAGACAAACACTGTTGTCTTATGTAATGGATTCCCATTAAAAGAGAGCATTGACCTATCTTTAACAAATTTAATTGATAGCTCCAAATCGTTCTTAGTTCTAATCTTGTATTTTCAAGGCTATAAATAATTTCATTTCTCTGATGATGTGGCTCTAAAATATTTATAATGCCATTTAAGGATTTTATGAATGAGGCTGCGTAAGAAAAAGAAAAAAAACTATGTCAGAGATTAACATTAACTTGAAAACTGTTTATGTTTATTTGCTAATAAATGCTTAAAAAAAAAAAAATTAGCATTTATGATTAACATTTATACATAATATTAAAAAACGTTCAGTAGAAAAGAAAAGAATGACTATAAAAGCATATAGTGGTTCAAAATATAAATAAAACTAATAGAATTAACATGTGAATCAGGAGAAAATTATAATATGAGGTTATTGTGATGTCAATGGATCTGAGACATGAGGTCTCAATAAGAAGGCATGCTACTGTGACATTTTAAGAAAAATTAATTTATCACTAATAATAAAGATATAAAGCACACATGAGAACTTTTTTTATCATTAAAGGACATAATGTCAGGCAATGCTAACGGAAGCAGCAACTATTTTGTATATTTTCCTTTTGTTTTTTTTTATTTATCAATAAATACACACATCCATATGCATATATTCAACTCAATTCTATGAATTTTCAGATTTTTGTAACCTAAATAATTAAATATTAATTAATTCTTGCATCAGATAAATAATTATCATATAGAGGCCGCAGCTACGGAGGCCACAGTTTTCCATCTATGACATAAAGTGATATACTTTTAAATACTTCTTCTTTCCATTTACATAAATTCAATTTGCTGGTTCATAACCGAGTTGTTAGAGGTGCCCATTGATGATTTCTTACATTGAATGCTGGTAATCGGAATTCACTTTTATAAGAACTCAGTATTGTTATTTATATCCTTTATCCACTTGTCTCTTTAAATATGATCTAAACAAAATCTATTATATTTATAATATATATAAAACTTGCAATATCCTTACAATATATCAATTAATTTTGTTGTATTATTTCATTTATATTGTTTTGTGATGTGATATTATTATTAACAAGATGTTAACTGTTTTTCAGATAATAAGTAAGGATGATCATAACTGGTGGCAGGCGAGGAGAGACAATGCCGGCGGGTCTGCAGGTCTTATCCCGTCTCCCGAACTTCAAGAATGGAGAACTGCCTGTGTTGCTCTAGAAAAGAGTAAACATGAACAAGGTATATAATTTATAGGGGAAAAGTACTTAAAATAACTTTAAATGAAAAAATTATATGTAAGAACTAGTTTTGCAGAATAATTCATTATAAGAAATAAAACTCAGCTGTTAAGAAAATCTCAATCGGCAGTAGAAAACATACATATACACTAGGAATATTGTAGAAGAATAGGAACATTTACATGATCGATAAAATTAAACTATTAGCTTTCATAATTATAAAGTAAACATTTGTTTTCTAGAAACTTAAAAATAATTTGATTAATGTTAATATTTTAGAAACATGAACAGCAATTTGAAACATGAATATATATATCCCATAATTAATATCCATCAATATTTCATTTTCATTCATGATTGCCAATATCTTATTAGTTGTAGTATTTTCTGTTCCAAATTATTTATATGATGTTTTTTGACAACTATTGTACTTTTTGAAAATTTATTTGCTTTATAATTATCTTTAATCATAATGGTTTTCTATGTAAGGTTGGCAGAATAATCATACTGTTCAATCATTTTTTCGCAAAGATTTAATTTAAAAATTGAAATTTGGTTGCAGATTAATGTAGTTTTCAATTTACTACCAAATATCTTTATGTATGTTTTTTTATTCTGTGAAACAACTTGCTGCCTAAAAGACCTATTATGCTCATTCCAATTACCAGGACAATATCCCTGCAGAGCTATACAGCCTTTGTTATTTTGCAAAGCATGAAATCATCATATATTCACTATCATAAAATTTTAATAGATGTTAAAGTCATCACATTATGCTGAATTGCGATAGATATGCACTTTATAATATATTATGAGCATATTCATGGCAATTATATTCTATATAATAGTTCACATTATCTCCACAAGACTTATTTTACATCCTCCTAGGTCTGTTTAGGCGCCATAAATAGATATCTGGTGTTCACATATATTATTCTGTGTACAATTAAATTAATGAGTGCATTATTCATATAGTCTTTGTTATGGACTATGCTTTTGTTACTTCTTTATTATCTTTTACAGTTATTAATATTTATTAACTAAACATTTTGTGTTAAGATCCTTATGACATTTCATAAAGTGAGATTCATTTTGTCAAGGAATCTGTTCAGATTCAATAATTGAGTTATTTCAATTAAAAAAAGAAATTTGTGAGGAAAACCAATTCCAAAAATTAAGGTACTATAGGAAAGAGCAATCTGTTCAGATTCAATAATTGAGTTATTTCAATTCAAAAAAGAAGTTTGTGAGGAAAACCAATTCCAAAAATTAAGGTGCTATAGGAAGGAGGAATCTGTTCAGATTCATTAATTGAATTATTTCAATTAAAAAAAGAAGTTTGTGAGGAAAACCAATTCCAAAAGTTAAGGTACTATAGGAATCATACAATTACTTCTATTCCTTAAAGTTAAAGCAGGCTTTCCTTAGTATGGGTTAAGTTTTTAAATTGTCTGTCAGAACAATTTAATATTTTTATTTATACAGGATTAAATGTATGTAAATCTGATAAATAATATTTATCGCATCATATTGGAAAAATATATTAATTAACCTTAAAAATTTAACTTGTAAATTAGTGCATGTTTTATTTTATGTCCATTAATCTTTAAATTTAATTTATTATCTGATATTTTATCTACCTCTCAAAATGTTTTATAGCCCAAACACATTTTGTCTTACATTATCTATATGGTTTATGCTTTTTCCTTATTTTCTTTTGTTTACCTCACAGTATAAACCCATTGTTGTTTTTACAGTCATTTTATTTTCTATGAAATATAGATATTATATATTAAATTTAGATTGGGTGAAGAAAAATCTCTGAATCTATCATTAGTTAATCTATAATGTAAATATTTATTTTTTATAATTTTATGAGATATTTTTTCTAAACAGTTTCTAATAGATTATGTATTTTTACTTTCTTCAAGTTAACTTTAAGTTTAATGTCAATTTTCGATTCCCAAACTTAACAAATCTTTTGTTGATCAAAAGGAAAATTTCTTTGAAGGAATTAATTAGATTTGTTTCTATATATCGATGGGTTTTGACAATTTTATATCTATGTAAAGGTGATTCAGGGCCTGGTTGCTCTTCACATACCGAGGGCTGTGATGGTTCGACAGGTAAATCAAACTCTGAATATTGATCAACAAGTACAAATCAAAATTCACTAGCATGCCCTAATTTCAATGAATGGCTGGATATAAAATATCTAAAAACACTTTTAATTTTAGTTAATTTATTTGTACACTTCTATCATTTGCCGCTGACAAAAGGGATGTGAATTGTAGTGTTATGTGTGAATTGATTTATCTAAAAGTAGTTGATATTACTATGTTAATCAACATAAACTAAAAAAAGTAATTTTTAATCTAAAACATAATATTGCTCTGCTTTGACTGGTTAAAAACAAAAACTCAAAGGATTCTAGGTCATGAACATCGGATAATTAACTTAACTTTATAAAGTTTATTTTAGTTCTTTCATCATATATTTATATTTTTTTTAATTTTCTTATATGTTCATCGAAAAAATAAAATAGACTTATATTTCCAGCAATTCATTTCCAAATTTTTTATTAGGATTGCTATAAAATCAACTTCTAGATTATTTTTTCATTTATTCACTTGACTAAATACTGCTCATTGCTAAATACAGTAACATATTTATTAAGTTCTACTTGTCGGTAACACAAAATTTATCTACATTAATTTGAACATAAATAGTGATATAATGGTTTGATACATCACGTCCCCAGAAAGCTATGTTGTTTTGACCTTCTCTCAAAATCATGGTTATGTTTCATCAAATTTGTCAAGAAAAAAAACATAATAGGAATATACTTATTTCAAACTTAAGCCTTTATATTTTCAATTTTTAATTTTTGGGAGGTGGAATAACAGAGTGGGCTAAGGCTCTTGCAATATGTAATCAAAGTTGAGTACTTGAAAGGGAGACTCCCCGATTGGATGACTGTCCACTATGGAAAGCCATGCTGCGACTCTCGTCTGGTTATTTTAGTTCCATTATCCTATTACAGTAGGCAACTCACACTGACTGTGTGCAGGAGTCTATGAACCTACCCTGCATACTTTGGGAGTCGTGATATGGGTTCTCAAGATGTCAGTAGTCTCCTAAAGGTTTGATCCATGAAGGGTCTGTTGCAAGCTTTCTGTATTCCCGCAAGTAACATACGTCTTGCGAAACCAAAGATTTGCAAAGTCTATACTACATAAAAACAAAATTGAATAAATTAAAAAATTCAACTTTTAAATAATATAAGAGTCCAGCATTTCTAGACTCCACTTTATATGATATATATATATATATATATATATATATCACTTGTAAAAAAAAAGGGTATTTTGTACATGATTAATGTCAAGCTCTCTGTTTTTTGTGATGAATAATTTCTCACCATCTCAATTTCTGATTTAAAGCTAGATTCAGTCTTTCACGATTCAAGTAGCTGCTGACCTTGCTGAATAAGTAGGGTAATCAAGTATATTTGGATATGTTTTATTGCTAACGTTTTATTGAACTGAAAAATCCATTTTTTTTTCAGACTCAATTATTTTTGGTTTATTTCCTTCTTTAATTTCGAATTGATTTCTTTGATTTATTTTGATACATTCTCAATTATATTCCATAACTGTTTTTTCTAAACATTTTGGAAGAAGAGTCAAAACAATGCAGCTATAAATTGTATGACAATTCTTAATAAGTATTTAATTAATAATTAAAACATATCTGTTTTTGTTTATTGAACTAATACAGAATTTATTTACTTATTTAATATATAAGATTATAGAATATATTACTAGTATTTAAAGATAAACCGAAATTTCTATGCGTCTGTTTGTTACTCACTTATTTTTAACTTTTATGTGAATAAAAGTTTTATATTACTTAAAATGCTGAATTTATTTGTCTTTGATATATTTTTTTTCTGAGTAAAAATACCAAAGTTGTTCACAAAATGTTAAGTTGCATTACTATTATTTTTCCTCTTATTGCTTTCTAAATTTATGTCAGTTTAGAATACACTTACATTTTTTATGCCGCTGCAGCTAAAATCCTATTATTGAAGCAAGCATTGCGACTAAAAATGGCAATAATTAATTAAAATTTTAAAAAATGTAGTTGCACTATTTTTTTTTTCAAAATTCAAAGTAGTTGGCTTTATGTAGTTGCATCAAAATTGTTGCTATTAGACTTTTCTGCTTCATTCAAATTTTTTATAAGCCACTAAACTTTAAATTTTAAATTTGAAGATAGAATTGAATTGGTTCATTTTTATACATAAAGGATGTTTTATAATCACTGATCTCATTATGATAAAGTAGTCCACCTATCTTGATTGGTGTTATAGCGATTGCGCAGAAATAGCCAAAGCTCAAAGTGATGTAGGACGATAATGTTTTTGATCTTCATTCAGACTTGTATGTGTTTCTTTTCTTCTTTCTCTATTTCCTTACTATGCCTTAATTACAAAATTCCATTTTCTTAGTGTTTTCATAAAAAGACCTGTAATTTAACTTTTCATCTTGGGAATTTCCTTATTGGTCCCATTGCAAGGCAAAAAGTCTGTTATCTATTTAAATAAAAATAATTGTTATAATATTCTATGGTAAAAAAAAGTTGGAAATTTTTAAACATAAAACAATTTACCAAAGTTGGGCATTATTTTATTCACAACATAATAACAACTACTATTTATTTTGTATCTTTTTATATTTTTAATATTCAGAGAGTAAATGTAAGAAACCAGTTAACTTTAGTGGCTGAATCAGCACCTCAGTTATGACAGAAAAATCACTTATGCCTGTTTAAAAAATATTGAAAAACCAGTAATTAGCCAATAATTCTCTGTCAAACCAACTCTTATTTAAATGTCGAATTCATCCTGTTAATTATTTGCAATGGTTGACATATATATATATATATACATATATATATTTAATTTGTACAAATTCACATTACCCGATCTTTTAAATGTTCCCTCACCGGTCTACTGAATTTTGTCTATTCTCCACTTTCCAACTTTATTTTGATAAGGGGTATAGAATTGCCAGCCGGGGTTAGTGGAATTGATTGTTTTAAAGTTATTGAATATAGAAGTTTTCTCTGAAAACTAAGTATGGTATCACCAGTTTTAAACTCTCAGCTTTTTAGAAAATAGTCGAAGATCTTGAAAAGAATTAACAAGTGCTTATTCCTCCGATGGTTATTGAAGATGTTCAACTTTTAAACCATGGAAAATTTGTATGGTATGGAAATGTTCTATTATTTATCTATTTGGAGAATCAACCCTTAAGCACTACTTTAAAAGAAACTTCTTCTATTCTGATTACTGACTTATTAAATAAATAACTACTATTTATACAGTAATATTTTATTAACTTTATCATTTTTATTTTATTTTATTAATTCTATCACTCAAAAAAGTTACAATTTTCTCTTATACAACTAGATAATAAATATATATGACTACATAATAAAATAAGAATGGTATTATTTTCTTAGAATTTGCTGGAGGAATTAATGATTCAGCAATTCAAATAACATAAAATAATTATTTCTCAATATTATTATCTTTTCACTTTGCACTCATAGTGTACTCTGTTGTCCACTTTGTTGAACTAGCTCCCTGCTGTATATATATTACCTCTAGTCTATTTAGTGCATATAGTAAAAAGCTATTCTATATAAATACTTTCGTAGTTTGAGAACTGTTGCTGTTGGTTTAATCCTTCATTTATTTGTATTTGTAGCCATAGTTTTAATGCTCTTATTACTAATATTTGTTGTTCACAAATTGAAACTTACATAATATTAGTAATTTTGATTGTAGTTGTATACACTTACATTATTGTTTGTTTTAATTTTTAGACGACATCCCCAATAAACATCTTTTCGATGGATGTATAACATAATAATGGTATATATATAATAAAATAATTGAAAAACAAAAAAACTAGTTATTATACATTATGTGTTGTTCTAACATAATCTGTCAAATGGCTTATAATTCATATTTAACAGGATATAAAAAAAAATCCCATTACACTACACCACAGTGTGACTAATGACATGGAATAAAAAAATTCAAATCAATATTTTTCCCTTCTTCATCATCATTCACCATATTTTCCTTGACAAAGAAGCAATGAAATACAGGAAATCTTAGTAAAAATTATTGAATGGCAAGAGATTATATTTATAAGAAAAAAATTATAATTATATTGCAAATTAACACATGCTTAATCTTCTTAGTCAATAATTAAAGTAAGTTTAAGTATAAAACAGTATGTAATATTTTACTGAAGAATTGGAAAATATTCATCTACTCATCTTTTCTATCCCAGTCAGTATGTAAATTTAGAGTTAGATCTCCACTCGTGGGATGATTCTAAGGGGCGGCCAACATCAAAAGATGATATTGCATATGGAATTTAAAAAATATTAGTTAATTGTGCTCGATTTTGGGAATAAATGGCAGTTCTAATAGAAGTATTTAAGTATTTTTTTTTTACCATTTTAATGGAATAATTACAATTCTATGCAACTTCTTCAAAAATGGAAAAAAAATACAGTTAGGATTTGTTTGACAGTATTCAATTGTTTTTTAATTTTACCTACTTAACAAAAACTTCTGTCATTCATTCGTCTGGAACCTGTTTTATAAAATTACCTAATTTTTATTTTCTTATTTCTTAATGATATTTACAACTGTATTAAAGAAATACATTTAGTAAATTTGAACATATGGATATACTTGTTGAGAAACTACCCAATGGTAGCACTCTAAACCTAATTTTTGAATTTGCTATTTGGTAATAATATGAATTTTTAATAAATCATGAGCACAATGTACAATATACAGTTTTTGTATCATATTAACAATCAATCATAGCAATCAATCACATTTTTATATTATTGGTCATGTGATAAGTTTCATCTTATCAGAAAACTTGTACTCATTGATGAATAATAAGTATATGATAGGAACAATTGAAATTAATCTCTTGAGATGAACGACACTTACTAATCAAGTTTGGTTATTAATGATTTCTATCTTAATATTAAAACTTTTGAAATTAGAATTTTTATTTTTAAATTCGCTTTTAAGTCAGCATTGTCTCATAGTGTTCTGAAATCTTTTTTTTCATTTATTTTTAAAAAAGAACCAATGTCATTTTAAAAATTTAAGTTTTAACTTTGTACATTTAAAAATACAAACTACATACAAAATCTCTTCACTAATGAACTAGATCATCATTGAAGAAGCTTTGGTGAAATTATCTTTTACTTTTGGCGTTGGCGTTACTCAATCCAAAGAGGTTGCATGCATTAAAAGTTATAAGCTTAGGGAACTAAGAATTTATGTAGTTGGTATAAACTTTGTTAAAAGTTTTGTCTGATATCATTTTTCTAATAATATTGTAGTTATCTGATTGCTTGCATAGTTTAATTTTAAATAATTCTACTCTTTCCAGAAAATCTTTAGCTTTATCGCTTAGTCCGTAGATAGCGTTACATATAGTTAATTTTCTCTGAAATCCTACATTGTTACCCTGCTAGGTATTACAATTTTTCTAAAAATATAATTAATGGTGGTGTGATTGTTTAATGTATTACCTGATCTAATTGAACGTGTTAGATTGAAAGTAGAGTAAATCAATGTTAACTTTATTTTTATGGATAGCTAATTAAACTTCATAATCCTCTCCCTCAAAGAAAAAAAAATTCATCGTGTTGTTTCCTTTAACCTTAAATATCCTATACTTCTTTAATGTTCATTGTCAGTATTGTAATAAAATATTTAAACTTTTGTTTTTTGTTTTTTTGTTTTATACTCTGAAAGAAAACTTATCACTCTTTATAATTTTTTTTTTTGTTTCCAATTTAAAATATGAGTGATAGTGGAGATACTGTTGACAATAGATCAATTAGTTGGACATGTTGTTTGAGAGTGCGTTTAATAATATAAAATATATTTTGATGTGTTCCTAAGTTTCAGTCTAATTTTTAGCCCTTCATCTGAATTAAGTATAGACGAGATTACAGTAACCAGTAAGCAAGACAATATGTCTGATTAGGATGATTTTTGGGTTGGGGTTGTCTTTGGCCCCTTGTATGTTGAAACATAATGATGGAGATATGAGTGAATGGTGGAAATAATGTATAATAATGATATATATATATATATATATATATATATATATATATATATATATATATATATCCTCAGTATTTTATGATAACTAACAGAGATCTTATGAAATAAAACTAGAAACTGAAAAAAAAATTATTTTATTTAAATTTAAATGAATTAAATATTTAATTGAAATAGAAGTAACATCATTATCTTGCATTTATTTCTGCTTACATTTGTGACTTTGGGCTATTAATGTGTTAAAAAAATTTCTGAGCGATAACTTTTGATTGTTCCCTCTTAAAAGCTGTTAATGGTCAAAGTTATTCGGATAAAGTTGAATATGTGTTTATTTACAATGATAGCCATTCCCATAGACGTTTAAGTGGATTTACTTCTGCTTGATATACACTTTACAAATTTTCAGAGTAACCATTTTATTTGCCTGTTTGTTTACTATAATTCTAAAAGATCCAGTATATTGGATAATATACTAGTATGTTTGCAAAGTGTATCATTTTGAATTCTTGATTAAATAAGTAAAGTATAGAATTCCAAAAACAGCCTAATCCATTTTTGTAATAGTTCTGGTACAAGATTATCATGAGCAGAAACTCTCTCTAAAAAAAAATCATATCTTTTGAAAAGAATTTAATCACATTTTCTAGATTGTTTTTCTAAAGAAATTCTTTAGCCTCATTACATTCTAGTACCAAAATGTTATTAAAAAAAAAATTGAGTTGACTTATTTTGAAATTCTACACCTGAGTTATGGTTGTTGTAATTAATTTTTCTATTTTTTCAAAATATTTATATGCTTTATATGGCTAAATGTAATTTAATTATAATAATATTTATCTTTTAAGAATGAAAAACATGTTTTTAAAGCTCTAATTGCACCAGTAACAATTTACTTCCATTATTAGGTTTGGATTTGTCATACATTAATTTTATATTATGTACTATACACTTTAGCTCATTTTGTAAGTTCTATTATTTTGTATTACTTATGGATTGTTAGGCCACTTTTAGATAATTAGTTATTAGATGTGCATCACTGAATTGATTTTTTTTACAAACTGACATGTCTTAGTGAATTTTTATTCTCATTTATTTTTGTGTATACGTATATTATTTTCTTTTTTATAAAAATGCAAGTAGTCTTAGTTTGAATATATTTTATATTATCATAAATATTCAAGGTGAGCAAATGCTTGTTCTGTTTCAGTGAATTGCTCAATCTTTGGTCGTAAAAAGAAACAATACAAGGACAAGTATCTAACCAAAAACAATGCTGTATTTGACCAGCTGGACTTGGTCACTTATGAAGAAGTTGTTAGGTTACCTTGTAAGTAATCGAACTTTCTTCTATGGTTTGTCATATTATTCATATAAAAAATTTAAGTTTTAAAATGTATACAAATTAATCTTTCAGCATTTCTGAGGAAGACACTTGTTTTACTCGGAGCGCACGGTGTGGGCAGGCGACATATTAAAAATACTTTGATTGCGAGGCATCCTGATAAATATGCTTACCCTATTCCTCGTAAGTATTTGTTATTATTTGTATCAAAATAACACAGTCTCCTTATTTTAATAATCAACTGTAATAAGAATATGAAACTGTGCAACCTGCTCATCATTAAGACTTATTTCCCCATTATTCCATCATTGAATCCATTTGTAAAGTTTGTTCTCACACATAAGCTAGAAATAATAAATAAAAACTTTCAGTATAATAACAAATACAGTTGGAAAAGGAAATTTTAGGAAAAGGAGTTATCCTAAAGTCTTACAACTTTTAGAGTGTATTTTATTTAGGTAAAAAAAAAATTTACGACGTTGTGTAACCATTAATTTTTGTATCTAAGTTTCTGAATTAAAAAAAAAGAAGAAAATTATGAAAAAAAAATATCACCTACTTATCGGCTATGAATCGGAAGTATAGATATCGTTATGCATGTTATATAATAATTATGTAATATCATTACGTATTTTTATTGAATACTTCATAAAAGGCTTTGATTGAGTTTTAATGATAAATTTAATATTTGAGGAGTACGGTGAACATTAACTCATTCGGTTTCTCTCCATGGCCTTAGATAATAAAGTGAACCTTGGGATATAACTATTATTTCAAGATAATCTTTCAAAGGAAAAAGATGTGTAACAAACGGATATGACGTCTTAATATGACATCAGACCAAATAAGTTTAAATGCCTTATTTAATTGAATGATAAATGAAAAAATAATGTTTAGTTTTCTCAAAGAAACTTTAATTTCTTTTAACTTAAACCCTTTGTCCAACAAAATAACCAGAACTCTAAAGATTATTTCTGACCATTATTGCTAAGCTCTCAATTACTTATTCCAATTATTTTCTATTCTTGTAAGGTTTTTTTATTATCATGCTACCTAAAAGGTTTTAGCATCACCTAAATCAACAATTGGCTCGCTCACTATTACAGAACCCTGTCTTTAATATAAGTTATTTGTTTAACTTCTACTTTTATAAACATTATTGGAACTCTTTAAAAAAACCATTTATGATTGTACTAACCATGCAGTTGGACGCATATATAACTTTTAAATTAATTTAAAAATTTTCGCTATTAAATTATTCTTTTTTTTTTATAGATACAACAAGGCCTCCAAGGAATGAGGAAGAAAATGGAAGAAATTATTACTTTGTCTCAAACGATGAGATGATGGCTGATATTGCAGCTAATGAATATTTAGAATATGGTTTGTTTGAATTTTTTTTTAATTGAGAAAACAACTCATTAATTTGTAATGGCTTAAATTTCTATACCACTTTCAATGCTGAATTGAATAGTAAATTTACCACCATCAGGCACAAATTGAAACTAAATGAGAACTGTCCTATAACCCTTTGACTGTGGGAGCTAATTTAAGTGTTTCTACCAGATGGGGAGGGTCCTAAATCCAAAAAGATGTTCAGAAAAACAGATTTTTTTATTTTGCATAAATTAGTTTAAAATACTATTTTGAGTCACCCTGCAAGATCTCAGCTTTCAATAATGCATTTGAACCTTTTTATTTACCTCTTAATAAACTGGACATATGCTGAGACAATATGGTTGTTCAGGGAGTTGACGGGCAAATAGCACACTCATCCGTCAGTTCTTCTCCATTAATTAATTATTTAATTTAGAGCACCCACTTTATAGAAGCTGGGTTTGCCCCATAGTTGACCCACAGCTGATGAAAAATTACTAGTCATCAGGCGGATTTGAACCCGGGAATTTGAACTCTCAAAGTCAGTATTCACCCACTGAGCTACCCCTAAACCATTTTAATAGAATATAAATAATATCATGTATATGACATAAATAACAGAGAAAGGACATACCTTGGGTTCAGAATAAATCTGCAACTGATAGCTTCCAAAAGGTCAGAATAAGAAACGACCGCAATGAGTCAACTACAGGGTTCTATTACTATTATTCTATTATTATTATATATTTATATTGGCTTCTACCAAGCCTCAAGTAAAATGATGAAGTAGGGACTTGCTCCTACATCTTTAAATGGCGACAGCCAAGGCGGGAAGGCATATATCCCAGTCCCACCAGTGACCCAACTTACTGCTGGAACGGTTCATATCCCGTCCGCACCAATGACCCTACTCTTAATGGGAAGGCATGTATTCCGTCCGCAGTCAAAGGGTAAAGAAAATTATGAAATTCAATTTAAAATGTTAATGAACAGTGACTAATTTAAACAAATAACTTTTCAGAAGCTAATAGATTATTGATTTAAGTAATCTTTAAATAAAATATTACAGGTGAGCCTTGGTCAATAGGTAATGTCCAAAGGTGCAATGGCAAAAATGCCTATAGTTCTAAACTACCTGAGCTCAATGTTAGAAATGTGAACTACGTATACTTTGAACATGTTAATGACTATAACACATTTAATAATTGATAAAGTTTTAATATGATGAACGACCTTTAATTTTAAAATTTCGGTATTATATAACTTTCCAACAAAATTGAACCATCACTGTTAATGCTCTACAAACATTTTCATATTTGTTTTTAAAGCATTTAAAAGTATTTGCTTTCATAAAAAAATAATTTGAAATCCACATTATGTTCAGATTCCTAAATCTCTTTATAAAACAAATTGATAATAAATGCATTTAATTTTATTTTTTATTTATATAGGAAGTCATGAGGAGGCTATGTATGGAACAAAATTAGAAACAATAAGAAAAATCCACGGAGAAGGAAGGGTAGCAATACTCGATGTAGAACCCCAAGCTCTGAAAATGTTGAGGACATCCGAGTTTGCGCCGTTCGTTGTCTTCATTGCTGCTCCTCACCTCAATAATCTGGCTGATGTAATTTTTTTAGTATTATTTATTCTTCTAAATTATTTCATGATATGTATTTATAAACACACCTACATACACGTAATTGTCAAATTGATAATTTAATCATAAGTCTTTCATTTGTTTAAAAGAGTTTATTCAAAATACTATTAGTTTTTTATGTTCTGATCACCTATTTGACTCCGGAGCAAAAAGTCCATAAAAGTCATTCACTGAATCTGAGAGACTCTTGAGAGAAAATCTAATACTCAATAGCCCTTAGGATATTGAAAATGTCTAGGACGAAGTGTGGTATGAGACTTACCGTAATTCTACTCCAGTAATAACTTATAATTTCAGTGCTATCTATCTCCAAGACTGATTATTTTAATAAAGTATAATATCCTTTAAAAGATATAGTTTAAAGTTTTCCATCTCTTCATTATGGATTTCTGATGTTCAGGTTACTATTTTCTAATTATTCTTTCTAACTACTTTATCATTATCAGAAAATTATTTTATTTATGCTTCATTTCATAGTTAGCTGTTATTGTTTGGATGTGTGTTTTATGTTTTATATTAGAGTAAACTTCCACTAATCTAACTGCCATGCTACATGCTCATTAATTCAGCAGAACTTTTGGAAGAAAATTAAAATTCATATCAGTCACAAAACATGCCATGTAAAGGGTATCATGGTTTTTTTATTAATCCAGTATGTCTCAAATCCAGAATATACCAAATTAAAGGAAGCTTAGAGTGAAGACAAAAAACTGTTCCAACGATCTTATTAGTTATAATGTTTAGTGTTTATTTGTAAATTAAGATAGTTATTAGGAAATATAAATATTTATATAAAGACATTAACATAAATAATCTATTGCAGTTTGATGGAAGCTTAGAGAGATTGGCGAAGGAATCTGAGCTACTGCGGCAAGCCTATGGCCATTACTTTGATTTAACAATTGTAAACAATGATATAGACGAGACGATTGCTTCCCTCGAGCGAGCGATAGAACGTGTTCACTCAACCCCACAATGGATCCCTGTCTCATGGGTCTATTGACGAGCGAGTATCATATCTCTTCAAGATATCGAGCCTTCAAAACTATAGTGATTACGTCATCTTCCTAAACGAAACATGCATCTTCTTCTATCATCATTAACTCTCTATAATCATTTTTCATTTTATTTATAAAATAATTTAAAAGAAAAACAGAACTAAAATAAATCAATTATTGATGCGTTAATTGTCAATATAAGAAGTAAATGAAACCTTCTTGCAAGGACTCAAAACTTACCTTAATTGTGATGTGATATTGGACAATGTTTACTAAAATTAACTTTAATTCCTTTTGTATAAAAAAAAACAAAAAAAAAATTGTAAAAGGTGGAATGTAATTAACATATGGCCTATACATGAATAACAAATGGAATATGGTTGTTGCCATGGTGGGGGATGAATAATGTGTTATCTGTGATGTAGTGAGAAGTGTTTGGTGCATTAAAAGAAAAAAAATATAAAAAAATTAAATATTATAAATAAATAAAAAGAGGATGGTATGATGTTTCTTGATATATGACTCTTTTAAGAGATATTTTAAAACTTGAGATCTTAGAATATTTGGGCCAATCAAATTATTGTTTTATTATTGAAAATTTCTTAAAACTCTTAATAAGATGATAAAAATCTTTTCTTTGATTAAAGTAAAGATTTTTCTATAGCAATTGAAGCTAATAATTTAGAGAGGTAGTTACAGTAGGCATCATTGATCATCACAATAGTGTTAAAAAAAATAATAATATCAAAAGATTTGCCAATGGAGCAAATCAAGATGGAATGGTGAATTATAATTCGTCTGGCAAAGAGACAAATTTAAATTATTATCTCAGATTTTATGAGAAGTTCATAACTAACGAACTCAGGTCCTTGCTGCAAGAAGGAATTGCGCTCTTGTTATATCTTTATAGTCCCATGTTGAAATTAATGTTTATGTTTTTATAGAAATTAGCATATGTCAATTATATTAGGTTTTAATAATTTTTTTTAGAATATTGGACTCGAGTACTTGTTAAAGTACTTAACATAATGTGTACAATTGTCGTCAGAAATGAGAATAATTTTCAATTATGTAAATGAAGTGTTTTACTTAATATTAATTAGCTTAAGCTCGTATTAGAATTGAGATAGAGATTGATGAAATACATCTTGTACGTTTAAAAAAGTTGTATTCATCTGATATAAATTCAATTCTTGCAGCGAGTTCTTGAATTCAATTTTAGATAATGCAATATTGTTCATATCATATAAATAGGTCATATATTAATTAAATTATGTATAAAAGAAATAAACACCAACAGACAGGTACCATTCCTTTTTATTTTACCTCTTCCTTTGATTTGTTTTCTTGCATAGGCATTGAAATTTTTCAGCTGTAGTATTTTGTAACCTATTAATCATTTGTAAATACCGCTAGAGGTCATCTAAAAGGATGCCTCTCCTCGGTATTGTAAATCGTGTTGTGAGGTACTCTTCAGGGAATAGTTTTTTAAAAATATTTATAAATATTATTAACATCATTTAATAAAAACGAAATTGAAAAAAAAATTAATAAATAAATGAAAATATTAGCAGGTTGTCAAATGTAATTTGACTAAAATTATATATAATTAAAAAAAGTTTTTAATATAAAGATTTTATTTCATGTGAACACTATGATTATGTTAAATAAATTTATGATTGTTAAACATAGTGGACACATGTAGCTGGGACAAAGTCTCATTGTTTCAATGTAGGGGCCAATATTTTAAGTGGTATTCAATGAATAAAGTATTAAAAAATACTGTTTTAAAATATGACAGAATTAATATTTTGTCTCATATACCCTTCATCACACAATTGTTATTGTTTTTGTCACAAAAAAAAAAAAAGAAAAGAAAAAGGTAAGTTAATATGCCCGAATGCCAACACCCGTTGAAACAAGGACTATTCCTTGTCCTCTCATATTTATTGTTTTCTTGATACAATAAAACAAACATTGTCTAAATAATTAATGATGTAGTTTTTATATAGTCATATTATTATTTTAAAGTATTCAAATTATAGTAAATTTAGAAAATAAAAAATGAATTCATTTATACTTTTTTTTTAATCCTATTTATAAGTTTACCAATAAAGAAATAAAATTTAAAAAAATATATATATATACATTTTGAGTAATATGTATATATATACATGCGTGTATGAATGTAAAAATTGTCTATTACATAGAGCTCATATCTCACAAATAACCTAAAACTGACTGTACAATCCACTCTCAAATTATATATGTATAAACATATATAAATATATATATATATTAAAGTTTTTGAAACATTGTTATAGATTTAAAATAATTTATTACCTAATGTAACATATGTTCTTGTTTTAATAGCAATAAAGTTATGTAAAGAATAAAATAAAATGTCTTTCCATTTAGTTTCATGAACAACTTTTTTTCTGTTATACATTTGTAAGGTTATTTTTATTGAATTTTGAATTATTTGCAATAAATTTTAAAATTGAGTCAATAAAAGTGAGATATTAAACGACCATTGTTACAAAGTTGTTCTATTGTATTCATTAGGTATGTCACAGTTCCGTACTTATTTATTATTAAATATATTCATAATAAATGGAGGGATTCATGTGGAAGTCGCCTCTACGCGACGATGAATGCCTCAATAGTTGGCGAAAGACCACGTGGAAGGCCATAAAGCAGATGGATAAATAGGATCAACAAACATGAAATAGAGCTGTTTGCAGAAAATGCAGATGTGAAAGAAATAGCCCAAGATATTCAGAGATGGAGTAGGCTTCTTTAGGAGGCATAAGATCTACAGGATCTGTAATGCCAACAAAACAATTATTACTAAAAGATAATTAGTAAGTTTATTTGAATTTGATTACTGTTTTTATTAAGAGAGGCAAAAGGTCAAATCAGTTCATAATGTTAAATTGATAACATATTTTGAATTAATTTTTTCTCATTATATGTTTCAGATAATATCAATTTTAAATGTTGTATAATATTTTATGTGGTGGGGCTGTGGCAAGTAGTGTGTGTAAAAGGGGGAGTGGGCTAACATATGTGTAAAACGCGTTGTTGGGCAATCTGACTAACTGAAGCATATATGATCAAATAATTACGAGTTCACTTCCCGGTGCCAGAGGGAGCATTAACTATGCCATTAATCCCCACCCCCTCCCAGGAAAACCCCTTATAGCCTAAAAAGCAAGGAAGGGGAGAAAATATATATAAATATATATTGTATGTGGCTCAGTGATAATGCAGATGTTAAATTGCAATGTTGGTATCATTCTGGTTGAAGAAATGGTACTTGTTGTTTCCTCCTCAAAGGATTTGTGATTTGGTTTATTTTAAGTCTTATATTATCTTTATAATTTTATAACCTTCAAACACTTGACTATAAATTTATCTTTATGTTATTAAACTATCCTGAATGAAAATGTAAAACTATAGTTTTAATCAGCTTTGAGGCATATTCTGATTTTCCTGGTATATCAGCCACAATAATCTGGGACCTTTCACCTTCTCATGAGAAGCATAAATAAAATTTCATCATTTATTACTACCATCATTATGTTGTGCTACAATTTGCTGGTTCTGACATCTTCAGTGAGTTCTCTGTTTCAGGAAGCTGAAAATTTACTCTCTGAAACTTATAATTTCTTTAGAAACAAATTGGGATTTCTGAAATGCACAGAAGGACCAACCAATCAGAATAATAGGATTATCTTTTAGGGAGTTAGATTGAAGGGATCATTAGGGTTTTTATTTGTTGTATATTTTTTAAGCTCAGGATTTACTAACGAATATTTATTCATTAATTTTAATAACAACTTAAACAAGATTCGCTTATTTACAAAAATGGACGGATATTTGATAAGGCACATCTATTTGAATCGTGACACTTTACTTAACATTTAAGACATTTTTTTTATATAAAAATAATATACGTAACAGTAATACATGCTATGTTAACTAAATTATGAAAAATAAAAAAAATCTAAATAATATTTTTGATTAATCCAGAAGAAAATTGAATATTTATTGTTATTATTTATTTATTTTTCTTGTTGGGGTCATACTTCAAACTATATTAAATTTAATAATTCAGTAGTTTTGCTGTATGGTATAGGAACCATGAAAAATTATGGTGATGTATTAAGCTAAAAGGTTGAATTAATGTGTAGGTATCATTAAAATAAGTTTAGTAACAAAAACAATAAATAAAAGTAATATAAAACTAACAATTTCACAACCAAGCATGATATTATAACTTATTTAACTGCTATTTCTGAAACAAAAATTTGTATTCGATTATAAGTGTTTGATAGCAATCAAAAGAGTTGGTAAGAGCGTGAAGACAGATACTATAGCTAGGCCTGGGGCTGAGTTACACTCGTTGGTATTGCAAGTATGGCATGATTCCAACTGTGAAGGATTTCCGAGGCTTTGAGCCGAGCAGGGTCCTTCGTGGTCTTGCTCGGAGACTGAAACACATGCCCTGTCGACAATCTTCTTCTTTTCTTCACCAACTAGAAAAAAAAAAATAATAATTTTTTATTAATGATAGTTTTTTGTCGTGATTGGGTCAGATATGATACATAGATTACTACAGGGTCAAGACAATATGTTTTCTACATAATTTGTTTGTCTGAGGATTGGCTATGCCCAAGTGTAATATGAATGATATTAATTTTCTCAGATATATATTTATATTTGCATTAGTTTTGTTTTTGTTTCTCCTCCCAAAAAAATATAAAAAATATGTTTTTTATTAATTGGGCTATAATTGTTCCTGTGTGTAATCTGAACTAAATACTTAAACAATCACAATGTATAACATTTTTAAACATATCCATAGGCAAAGATGCAGTGCAGGCCTTGGAGCTTGGAGAAGCTCTGATCATCAGGAGTGCTCACCACTTGTTAGCAATTAAAAAAAAAAATACAAAACGCATTAAAATAATTTATTTTAGCCTATTAATGAATCGACTGTATTAAAAGAAATATTAAATGAAATATAATTCTAATATTACATAATATAAAATAGCTGCAGAAATAAATTAAAATTTTATTTTTTGGGGGAAGTGGAGATGACATTATTGCCCAGGGATGCTTAATGTCTAAGGCTGGCATTATGTACATGAGAGGAACAGGTAGGTGATAAATATGATTAATAAAACGAAATCTTTTTGTAGATCAGATGTCAAAATAATAACAAATAGTACTATTTGGTTCGTATAAATTATTCCCATAGCGTATTGGTCAATAACCATATGTTGATATAACATTTAAATACGTATATGCAATAAATTGTGGTAGTAATTCATATTATTTTCACTTACGTATATATGTAATATATAGTAAGGGTAAGTATTGCGATACAGAAAATTTTTGAATCTGAGTTTTCAACGGAAATACACCTTTTGAGGTACCCTGAGTTGAAATGACCAAGTCCCGAAAAATGAGGGGCGGGGTGGGGTGGCCGAATAGGCTAAAGCGTGTGCACAGCACCGCTAGTTGCCTGGCAACGGGATAACAGAGATTTGAGATGATATAAAAAGTACGAGTTCGCGTCCCAGTGCCGGAGGGGAATGGCGGGGAATACCCCGCCCTCACCCCCCGGCCCGGGAAAATCCCGTATAGCCTAAAAGGCGAGGTAGGGAAGAACAAAAAAAAAAAAAAAGTCCCGAAAAATGGTCTGTGTGATTTTATGTTAGCAGTCTAGCTCAAAAACGAAAGATCGTACGAAACTGATATTATGTATTTAAGATAGGTATATGCCTTAGATGTGACTGCAACTTTTTCCTTAAAATCGACTAACCGGAAGTACCACTTTATATCAACGCTGAAACCCATTTCACAGTTTTCTCAAAAACGTCTCTAACAATTTTGATTAAACTCTGTGCATCATTGTATAATAAAGTGGTCTTTAATATCAATTAGGTCTTATCCCCATTGATGTCACTTTACAGGGCTTAAATGCCCAATGTTCATATACTTCTGAACATGTCTTCCTCTAAAGTACGTTTAATATGGTTTATTTTAAAAAGTTGATCATTTCACATTATTCAAAGTTACGAAAAAATGCTAAATATAACTTTTGAAAGAATTTGATAAGTTAATAAAGGGGAAAAAAAAAATAAAAATGCAGAAAAATCTGCGTTGCTGTAGACTGTAGCGCCTAAACAAATGAACTGATTTCAATGAAACTTCGCTAAAGTCATTTTCTGGACACCATTTAAATTTATCTATATAACATACTTCAACGAAAAGAAGCTGGAAAAAAAGGTACGAGGGATGGTAAAATTAAGTATACACTTTTTTGTATATGGTTTTTTAAAAGTTTATGGAATTTCCTAAAAAAAACAACAACAAAAATCATTAAGATCGGACAACTAGGAGGAAAGATATGGTCTCTAGTTTTTTTCCCTGAAGAGGCGAAAATTTGGATAAAGTTAAAATATAATTTTTTAATTCTTGAGACTAAAAAAACCTTTTTTCTACAGATATGTTCTACAGATTAATAAAGTATCTTTCCTAATAACATCTTTCATAAGAAATAAGTACCTAAATCTATACCTTTATTCTCAGTTTTATATTTCAACACTGAAATCACCACCTCCGGAATAAAATTACTCATATTCTTTATAGATAACTTTTTCAACTAAAAATATCTCTAAAATGACCACTCAAAAATGTTGAAATTGGAGTTAGTCATTCTGAGGTTTATAAAAGTAAAGAATGTTATGTGGTTTATAGAAGCAGATGGAGTGACTAGATTTTTATTGCCTGTCGTCGATATATTAAATAGACATTTTTTAATTATAATGGTCTTAATGATTTTTTATCTGTAAGCTTTAAGCTTTAAGCTCCGTTTAAAATGCACTTCAAAAAAAATTATAACAGCCCAGCATTGCCAGAAAATAATTTCTATTCATAGTAGATCGGTAAGTGAAAGTTTTGTGCTGCGCGCACAAGATTTTTTTTTTATTCGGTCGATAACAACGGTTCATCATTGGAAATAAACGAACACACTTGTATAACATCTAATTCTTCCAATCTTCAATCTTTCAAATTATCATGTGTACAACCTTTACTATTAGTTGTATATTTTTTTATTTATGATCAACTAACCTTTACTTTTCTTTACCAGTTATTTTTCCTGCTTTACATACGAAAGCTAATTGGAATTGACTACCCGCATTGTAGGATTGAACCTTACTCATTCCATAACCAGAGGTTAATATAGCCACTACGACCAAAGGGTGTGAAGTAATATTACTATTGATTTTCGATTTCATCTATCAAAGATGTTTTAAAATATTCCTGTTTCGCAATTAAATAGTCAAAGATGACCCTCTTAACGACGGGGCCACTACGTGGACTAATTAGAGTAAGGAACTTATTAACTGAATGGGTTAATGAAGAGGCAGCGAGTTGAATATGACGGGGTCAAAGGCGTAGGAGTCATAAATTCTCTGTCGCGTGGTAGTGGTATTCACTAACGGATCCAGGATTTAATTTTTGGGGGGCTTCAATCCGAAAGATTTTTTTTTCATATTCATATTACGATGATTAATTAGAAAAAAAAAGAAAGAAATTAACTACCTATATGAAATGGTGTTTAAGTCCTTGAAGTCCTATTAAATGTAGTTACAAGAACAAGAATACTTTAAGAAATAGTTTTTAATATTTTTTTCTGTAAAACCTGGTTATATTTTACCATTTTGGGAGGAGAGGAGAGAGGCTTCAGTCCCAAAGCTTCCCCTCTCGCCACTCCCCCCCCCACCCGTTGATGCGCCTATGGTAGTATTTGTTCGGCTAACTCCTAAATCTAGGAAATATTAAAACAAGAATAGTTATAATTATCATTATTTTTAAATATAAAAAACAAAATTCAGAAGAACCTTGATTCTAAATATCCCACGTCTCGTTGGGTAGAACTATTTCTTTTGCACGCGCGATGGATACTATAAAATAAAAATGATCCGTTAAGGTTTGCGCAAAGACCAGTTTGAGCTACGAGAATTGCTGGAAGCAGTTTCTGTAAAGTTGGATCTAGTCAACAAGAATATTGAATTTTTATTTTTAGCTATTTTTAATGGAAATTGTTTTCTCTTCCATGATAACCTTTTTTATTTACTTTTGTCCGACGTTTCGGATTACTCACCCATCATCAAAGACATTTTAAAAAACTGTTAGTAGGCATTCCATCCATTTTGTTGTTACATATTCATCTTAAAAATATCTGTCCTTATTATATTATTTAAATTTAAAATAAATTACATTTTTTCTCTCTAAGATGGATGCTTTTTCGATTGTCACTGTCAAAACCCCAACAGTTTAAAAAAAAAATCTGCAGTTTTAAACTAAGAAATAGCAAACGAAATGAATGCATCAAAATTACAAATTTAACTCCTAAAGATAAATAATAAGAATACTTCTCTGAAAAAAAAAAAAAGACCCAGCCTTACTCTTAAGTATTCAAACTGCAAATCGACTTATATTTCCAATCTCTTTTGGGCGAATAAAGCTTATTTTCTGTTAATGGTTTGAAAACTGACTATTACTAGGACAGTGTCTATTACTGATTCATTTATAGTCCGTGGTACAGACCAGACCCTTTTTTATGAAATTATTAACACCCGCCTGAAACTTCGTAAATAGTTTCATCTTATCGGAACCTACAACTATTTTATTTACAAGAACTCTTAAAATTGGGACCTTTTCAATCTGGAGGGGTACAAACTTTGTCAATTTAATCTGGTACTAAAAACTTGTAAATACTCAATTGCTTTCAACTTGGATGATAAGATAAATTTCTCACAAAATCTTTAAAAAAGGTGGCGGCCTACAAAAATATTGGGCCGTTTGTCCCATATAATCTCGTTATTTTGAAAATTTGGAGGTGCAGGTCACGCCAAACGGCTCAATATTTTTGAAGGTCACTTTTTTTCTCGACTTCATGATCAAATTATCTTACAATCCGAGTAGAAAGCAAATGTGTATTTACTAGTTTTTAGTACCTAATTAAATAGACAAAGTTTGCTCCTCTCCAGATTGAAAACGCCCCAATTTCAAGAGTTTCCGTAAAAAAAATAGTTGCAGGTTACGGTAAGATGAAACTATTTACGAAGTTTCAGGTGGATGTTAATAATTCAATAAAAATGGTTCTGGACTATGGACTATTAACTTGTTCTAGTACTGTTAAAATTAAATTCAGTACTTCTATAGAAAGTGATGATATGAAAACTATGATTCTATTTTAGTTCAGCTTATCTTCTCTAGCTTGCATTACTCATTTGAGGGGTGTTATTTCATAACACTTTTTATCAGTTAGTTAAAACTCTGTGTGCAAGAAACCAAGGCTCCATGCACACCATGTTTCTGTGTAATTTAAGCCTTAAATGGGATATAAATATAAATATGGATTTTAATATTACCAAGCTTAACATATTTCCTGCAGACATAGTGCCCTCGGGTGCTGCCGTACCTGGAGGGGTCGCACTCGTTGAGCAGCCTTCGGTTGGAGCTTGCGTCGAAGGGGTCGTTGCAGGACGGGTCTGAGTCGCTGTTGCAGACCCAGCAACTCAGGGCGTCACCTACGGAAAACATTTGTTTATTATTACAATAAATTTAATAATAAGATATTTAAAAAAATATATAATTATGACTATTAACAATAACCCAATGCCTTAAAAAAAACTATGTACGGTAGCTCGGATTCTATTAAGGCTAAAGATTTACTTGGAACAGACATACGGAATTAAAAAGACAAGAACCGACTTGAAAATATAGCCAACCTACACCTTCTGGACTACTGATCCTCACTTAACTTACGAAAAAAACCACAGATCTACTACACTTTACTGAGATCAATTCAGAAATACGGCGCAGAACCTTGAGGTTCGGCAGAACAAACACATATAAACAAAATAAAAACAACATAATCAAAAATTCTACGCAAAATTGTTAACGCAACCTGATATATTTAAAATAATACTATAAATTCCTCTCATACTTTCGATATTAAACATCACAACTTCAATCCTGAAAACTTCTTTTCCTCCCACGTGTCCTACGATGAATTACTTTCCACTATTCTAAAACTCCACATTAATGATTATGGTCCTGATAATATTCCAGTAAAACTAATAAAATCCAGCTATCCTGCAATATATGGGGCGTCTCTGGGGATCTCGAGACTAAAAACATTTAAAACTAAAACATTTGATAAATTGCTTTGTACGATTCATCTTCGGGATCCCAAGGGACGCCTCTGTCTCCCATTTTTATGCGGATTTGAAGTGGCTTTACCCTTCCTACCGCCGTAAGTATTTCCTGGCATCCTTCCTCTTTCAAGTCATCCAATCCCACCGTCCTTCATACATCTCCGAGCTCCTCCAATTCAAATCCTCTGTTCGTTCCCGCAATAATCGTTCCCACTCTTCTGATTTATACATAAGGGCCCACCGAACCGTTGCTTTCGATAAATCGTTCATTATCCCCATCCCTATGGAACTCCATCCCTTCCCACACCCCTCAATCCAATACCCTTCCTACCTTTAAATCCCGCCTATTCAATCATTGCTTATCCATCCAGTCCCAATAAAATTGTAAATAGATACTACTGTAAATATTTATATAAGTTATTAGTTTGTTCTTCATTATTTTTATTCCATTTTTTTTATCTATTTTTTATTATTAACTGATCAAATTTAGAAAATCACTTATAAATATATTTTTTTTCCTCTAAGACTATTCAATTACTCTGTATTTTTATTTTTTGCATCTCTGAGGTTCCCTAGCCCACCTTTCTGTCTTGATGTATTATTCTAAAGGGACTCAAATGCAATCACAACAGGCGGTGAATTTTCTGATTGCATGAAGAGAAAATTCATCAATGTTCTTTGTGATTTGAGGTTATGATATATCACTTAATGACTTTCTTCAATAAACCGACGATACTTTCAGCCAGTCCCTTTATTAAAATAAAGTTTATTCCTCTTGAGGAATCCTGTGAGTACGTTTATGAGTGTACACCTCAGTGATACATCATGCATCATCAATGATTGGTGAACTAATTGTCTCTCATCATTCCTTCTAACTGAAGCAGGAATCGCTTCGTGAAAGGCTGAATTGCCTCATTAATATAAAAAAAATTGCATTTGTTTTCAGCGAAGAGACCACTTGAGAAATTTTGGCGCTTACAGAAACATTTGAAATTCATAGAAAAAATAATAATATAAATCTATTGAAGTATATTAAGGTCAATGGTCTCGAGATCAAATTTTAATCATAATAATTTCTCTCCCACGTTTTAACTATACAACGTTGATACAAATAAACTGATTCACTTTCTTACTTTTTAATAAATTTCTAATACGCCGAAAGATTTAAATAGAAAATAATGATCTTAGTATCTGCTATAATTAATAAAATTGAACTGTTTTCATAAATAAATAAACAGTTTAGCTGACCTCTTCATATTATTTTTTAAAATATAAATTTAAAAATTTAATGACATTTGAATAATAATTAAGGCAAACCTAAAGTTTAAATCGATTTAAACTTCTTCAACTGAACTTGAGGGCCCATTGGTATGCATTGTGTATCCTCACACTGCTCCATCCTTCGAATTCCACTCAGCTTTATCGAAACTCAATGACCAAACCGTTTTCATTAACCACTACTGATTCAAACCTATCAAAAACCGCGATAGGACAGTATGAGAAGTTTTATAAAATAAAACTTGTTGTTACATTATTATTTTATTATACAATTCTTCCTTCAAAGATTCGGTAAATATAAAAAAAAAGAAGAAATATTACGATGATTTTTGTCGTCATAATCAAAATAAAATTATGTGTATCGTGTGAGTAAAAAATTGTGCATCGTTCAGCTCTCGATTAATTCCAAGATGAACATAATAGATTATAAAACACTGGCCGTTTAAAATTACATATATTGGCGCCGATATTGGGCGAAGGGCTAAATTCCCTTTCTGTCTCTCAATTTTATGAAGAACAGTTTTTCATGCCTTCCAATATTTCACGGCTGTTAAAAAAAAATAATTAACACAATAGCTCAATGAACCGTATAAGTAACAATTATATAAGGATGTATAAACAAAAATAACTATTTTATTAAATTCAAGATTTTAAGGGAGTGTAAATATTTTTAACCTATTTAATATTTACCAATGCTTAATGATCCCTTCTCTAATACGCATCCCCTCCCCCTTCTCAGAAATTCTCTAAGCTTGTTTAATACCATTCGAATTCTTCAAAAAAGTGGTTATTTGTTTCAAAGAAAAACATGACAATGTCCTACGAAATTGTCATAATATTAAGGCATTACTGGAAAACAAATTTCACAGCCGCTGAAGCAACCCGTGAAGTTATTAAATATGAAGGTAAAGGTGACGTTGACCAGCGCACTGCGCGGCGTTGGTTTGAAAAATTTAACAGTGAAGATACGACGTTGGAAAGGAAGAATGACTCCGGGCGACCATTAATGGATATTGATGATGTTCTGCAGGAAGCTGTTGAGTCAAGTCCGTCCACAAGTACTCGCGAACTTTCCAGGGAGTGTGGTATCTCGAAAGATACTGTTAGTCGCTATCTATCAGTGGACTGGTCCATCACGAACTTCTCCTCAGCAATCAGCTCACACTTTCCGTCGAACCAAAGAAAAGTTTGAAGAACTTCATGGACTCGAACTCCTGTCTTATCCACCATATAGTCCAGACCTCGCACCATCAGATTACTACTTATTCAGATCCGTGGCCCATTTTCTTCTAGGGAAAAAAATTTATAATTTTGTGTAAGTTGAAATTGCGGTCCAAGAGTTCTTTGACAGCCATCCCAAAGAATGTTATCAGCGTGGAATCGAGCAGATGGCTAGTGACGGTAAATAAAAATGGACTATGCTTTGAGTATTAATTGTATTTGATATCAAAGAAATAATAATACAAATATTTAGTTGAAAAACAGTTATTTTCATTAAATACACCCTATTATTATATTAGGGCCGTACTGGCCAAACGTGATGGAGCAGCGCCTCCTGTGTTAACATTATCGAGTCTAGCCAGTTCAAATCCCAGCCAGGTGAGTTGAAATTTAATTCGTGGTTTACATACAAAATAAATCTTCCCATTCTGATTAGAATAGGTTTGGTTGCACCTCTGGAATAACCTACCGTATACCAGGAATGACGTAGGGACAATAGAAAAATAAGAAATTATATTATATTACAGATAATAAACTGAGAGAGCCTTCACTCTTCTCCATCAATGTTTCCTAAGAAATCTGTAATAGCCCTGAAGCCAGGGCCCAAATATCCACCTCATCGCTGGCGAAAGTTTGGATGTAAATTAGGAAAGCGTATGTTATACGAAGTAAAATAAACGTTGTCGGCCACTTCAGAACCGTTGCTTTAAAAAATGGCGGCTGATTTAAAGAATACTAGACTATAACTTGAGGATTGAAATGAGAACTACATAACTAAAAATTTTTATATTTTAAATTTATATATTTGGGTTGATGCGTGTAAAAAACAAAATTGTCTAACGCAAACAACTAAGAGAAAACTTTGTACAGTCGAAAAAGCCACACACACACATATATATATATATTAATATGTTTTAGTTTTTTCACATGTGACTTCTAAACGGTGCATCGAAGCGAAAAATGTATTTTTTAATAAAATAAATAACATTAAATTGTGCATCAAACGAATGCCTAAATCTAATAAATTGGTTAAAGCTATGGCCGGAAACCATAGCCAACGAACGCTGCTTTTTGTCAAAAACAGACAATTTCTCTAACTGTAGCTTGGAAATGAGTTTCGTAAGAGGAAAAACTCATAGGGTCAAAGTTGTAAACCATCAAATTCTACGTCTACTGAATACTAACATTTTTATTGGAAGTCAATTATATATCTCAATGCGGGGTTCGTTATTTCTTCATGAAAATCGGTTTCTTTCGACTCCTCGTTTCTCAAAATCATTCGCTGCTTAGAGGTGGAAACGAGGCCTATACTGAATGCAACAGGCTCTAGCCAAGAATAACTTAGTGGAATATACACCAGTACTGGTGGAATATTGAAAACCACACGTACACGTACACGTTCTTTACCAATTTCCAGCCATCGGGGAATTACCGATTTCGTGCGGAGTAAGTGTCCTAAATTTAAACTGTTGGTAATTAGTCGACGCAGAATGCTGTACAACTTCGATTCTATGAATTTTTCCTCTTAGGGAGCTCATTTCCATTCTGCAGGGCCATTTAGAGTAGGGGTACCCATTCTTCCCTTCAACGTCGATGGCGCAAGAATCTATTCCCTCCCCTTCCTCTCAAAATATTTTATTGTTCACCTTTTCTTAATAACTGAGCATGCTAAGATAGAATTATAAAAATCATAGATCATATACAATTAAACTTACTGCTGTCTGTTCCATGTTTTTTTTTGTATCCTCCCCTTCCTTACCTTTAAGGCTATACGGGGTTTTCTCGGGCCAGGGGATGAGGGCGGGGATTTAAAACACACCTTCGACACTGGGACGCGAACTCGTGTCTATTTTATCCAGGTATCAATTGTCAGGTTGCCGGGCTACGGCGGTGCTGTGCACACTCATTAGCCCATTCAGCCACCCCGCCCCCTAAACATTTCCCGTTACTGGGAATCGAACTCGAGCATCCTTGATGAAAACCACGTATCCTAGCCACTAGATCATACCGGAGGATCATACCATGGCTGTCCCTCGCCTCTTAGTCCGAAAAATCATAACCACATCGAAATTTGCCCCCACCAAAAATTCAAAAACCCATCAAAATAAGTCTCCTTAAAAATTTCGATGGCACAACTTGCTCCATAATACTCTCTTCTGGGCACCCCTCATTTAGAGTAATTTGTCTCAGTTTTTGACAAATTTGGTAAAAAATCAGCGTCCGTTGACCGTGGTTTTCTACCTTAGCATTTAACTAAATTATACATTACGTATTTTTTTTTAGCAGTGACAACTTTTAAAATATAAAAAAAAAATTATGTGTGACAACAAGTGGATTGAGTCGATTTTGAAACTAATGGATAATTTCAAAGTTAATTTGATACTACCAATATGTGTATATATATATATATATATATATATATATATATATATATATAGTATGATTATTTACTAACCTTTCTGTACTAAGACGACGAGTAGAGGTAAGAAGAAGAGAACAGGGCGGGCCATGATGAGAGTATGAATGAGCAGCCAGCCCGCACCTACTCCCCACCTCCCATCTCCTCATCATCATTAATCTAATTACAGCTCCAAATTGTTTCTTATGTCTTTTTCTACATGGCTTTATTCCATTGAGTCAACGAAGTGTTAGTTATTGAATTTTTTATTAGACAATTCTTTTACAACAATATACCAGAAATGTGGCGGATCCAGGAATGTTCTGAGGGGGAGTGGAGAGAAGTGACGCATTTGTGAAACAGGCGAATTCCATAAACCAAAATCAAAGATGTATTTGTGTATATATATATCCCCCTATTGAGATATTTTTTCTAGTTAGCTGCAAGAAATTCAATTTCATCTTTGTTGATTCGATCTATCCATGTAGTTTTTGGTCTTTCACGTGGCACCTTGATTAAGATTGGGTTATTCATTGTTGAGGCTTACTGATGAATTAATTGCTTTTAAATATTTAACACTTTTTTAAGCGAACGGTTGGATCTATTTTTATATTAGATGACTCAAAATATTAAATGAGATCCCATGGGTGTTTTGAAACAACTTGAACTCAAAACACTGTCAAATTATTGCATGAAATGTGTTTAATCTATCCAGTGAAAGATATATAACGACTTCTAAAACGAATGACTCAACCTTTTTTAAGTTAGATGGTTCAAATTATTCAGTGAGATCTCGTGAATGTGTTGAACAATTTGAGCTTAAAATTGTTTTTTTAAGTAATTTCGAGTTTCTGTTCATTTAATGTCATATTATGTGTAATTTTGTGATCATAACTAATGAATATAAATTTTCAATACTTGGAAAACTAAAAATGTTAAAATTTAAAAAAAAGTATTGAAAATTAACAATTATTTATCCTAAGTAAAGATTCCACATATCTACTTCAATATCTTAGTAGATTGTCAGAGAAATAGGTTTTTACGAATATTTGAAATTGACGTAGTAATTGGGTGCTTTGCACTACACTTTCGGTTCCTGGCAAATAGATTTTGTCCCATGTATCGGTGCATGTCGACAACAACAAATTTATACCCCCATTGAAGTCAAATCCATAACAATATACCAAGGTCATTAAGGTGATAAACAAGTAAATTATTTTAGGATGGATAGGTTTATTATTTTTTTTATTGTTAGAGTTCACTCATTTCATTACCATAATTGTACAAGAAAAACATACACATCATTAGGGATAATTAACATACAATATGAAAACAGTTGTTGTAAATTCCATGAAATGTACAAGCTAATTGTACAAGGAATAGATTGTAGATCTCATGAAGAAAATTCACATAAAAGCTGTCACAATAATTCTTTTTTTTTTTTTTTTTTGAAACATTAATTAGTATTAATTATTCTTTCGGAAGAAGTAAAATCACACGCATTATCATTCATGTGCCTTGCTTATTGTGAAATAAGAAATAACAAATTGTAAGGTTTGATTGACCTGGAGATTTTAAAGAATAAAAGTTAGTGATTGTTTAACACCTAAGCCCAAGTTAATAAATTAAAATTAAAATTATCTCAGCATTATTAACTAACACTATTATTTGGAGACACTATGTATGAATTCATTAAAATGCGCCACAAATTCGTTCAGCACCTTGATAAATAAATTTCTTCAGAAACTTATTTCGATGTCTTAAAATTTTAACTCAATTAATTATTTGACACTTTGACTCTATCTTTTCTCAGTTAAAGCATTTTTAATAATATATAGATAGAGAAATAACTTTATTCTGGGACTAGTCCTTTAAGGATAACAAAATGTTACAAAGCAAAGGAATACTTCTGGTCTAGATATAAAGAAATAAAGACTTATATATTCTATTTTAGTAAGAATTAAAACATTTATAACAAAAATAGTAAGAAAACTACATTAAGTAAATAAAATATCTTATGTAAACTGACAAATATACAAAAAAAACAACAAACTGATGAAACTATATACAAAATGTCTAGAACTATAGAACTGTGCAAATACGAAATAAAAAATAATCACTGTTTTTACTAAAAAAATTATAAAACAGACAGGAACATAAGCAATAAATAAAAATTAATTCCTCTAGTAAATTAGCACAGTAATCTTCAAGAACAGCAATGACACGGTATATAAATTAGTATACAAAGTGATAAGTACACATAACAATATACACAAGTTCATGAAAAGTAATGAAAAAAATATATATACATAAAACATTGGTTTTTAAACCAAGACTTTTTAATTTAACACGTGGTTAGCCATTTTCGGACAGGGATTTTTAAACAGGGATTGGAATAATAGGGTTTTAAATTTGGGTAAAAAAGGAGCATGCCGGATTTTTAAAGGGCGGGAATTCCAGAGATTAGCGGACCGGACAACGAAGGAGTTTTGGAAAGAGATAGATCTGTGAAATGGAGTATAAAGGTCAGAAGATAAGATCTTGTGATAAGAGAGTATACTGAAGATTTGAATTGGAGATCATAAGCAAAGGAGGGGCTTTGATTGTTGATAATCTGATAAATAAATGTACCTAGGAAATATTCTCTATTGGAGGAAGAGAAAAGCTACCCAAACTCAGCGTAATGGTGCGAGACACGGGGACGTCTCAGAATCCCTCTGTCAAATCTGACAAAGCTATTACTGAGTCTCTTCAGTCTGTCACCGAAATCCATTGAGAGGCCACCGTACACCTCACAGCTGTAGTCAAAGTAGGGGAAGATGAGGGAAGAAACTAACAGTCTGCGGGTAGGTTCGGGTAGAGAATGGTGGAAGCGATAGAATAATTTGAGAAAGGAAATTGATCGCCGAGCGTTTGAGGTTTGATCGTTGAAAACCCTAAGTTTTTAACAGAGGAGCAGAAGGTACTGGGTAGGTCATTTAGGTAAAGTGTGGGAAAGTTGGAATTGGATTGGAGAAGAGGCTTGGAACCAATGACCCTGGCTTGAGTTTTTGCAGCACTCCAGTGATTAAGGATATATCGTGAAATAACCTTAATTCGTTCAGGCATGCCCAGGCACTGATTCGATCTAGGTTTTCTTGAATCTTGGCAAATGCTACAAATAACTCAGAGGGAGAGAATGATAAACAGATTTAGGAATGGTCGGCATAAAGTTGATGGGAACAATTGAGAATTGATTTATGAAGATCGTTTAACAGAAGTGGAGAAATGCTAAAACCCTGAATAACTCCTGAGGAGAGAGAAAGATAGGAAAGCGGTTGATTAGGGATGAAAACTAATTGGGAACGTTGAGACAGGAAAGACAGAAATCATGAGATGGAACTGTTAGAAAAGCATAAAGATGTTAATTTTGAAAAAAAAGGATAAATTGATGAGAAGGTTGATGGAGTCAAAGGCTTTGGAGAAGTCAAGGAGGACAAGGACAGTTATTTTTTTGTCGTCAATAGCAGCCTGGACATCATTTGATAATTTTGATTAGGGCTGATTGGGTGAAGTAATCAGGGTGGAAAGGATCTAGTTGGTTGGATTCTTCAAGAAAGTTGGAGATTTTGGATTACACTATTCTTTCCAGAGGTTTTGAGAGGTTGGAAAGGATTGAGATTGGACGAAAATCTTCGGAAGAGTATGAATAAGACTTTTTATTTAAAGGAAAGACGACGGTGTTTTTCAAAAGGTAGAGAATACTGAATTCTGAAGGAAGAAATTGTAGATGTAAAGGAGGACTGGGAGGATTTCATAGATACATAATTTTATTAATTTGACAGGAATGTCATCTAAACTTGTGGATTTGGCATGGCATTCCATTAGAGCGGATAAAAGGTCGGTGAGAGAAATGTAGGAAAAGTAAAAATCATCGTCGTGAAATGATCTCCCTAGAGAGAAACCGGCGGTAGAGGCAGCTGATATAAAATGTGCGTTTAAAGCATCAGGTGATACTGGAAAGGCTAGTGAGGTAGGGGGATTAAGAGGGTTCACAAAGGGAAAGTTTGCGAAGGAGTGACCATTTAGTTTTGATGTTAGGAGCTGATGAAAGGGCTTCATGGAAGTAAGAGGATTTCGCTCATCGGATCCTGGATTGTACCAAGTTGTGCAGCATCCTAAAAGCTTGGAAGTCATCTGTAAGTCTAATACGTCTAAAGAGTCTATAAGGTACAGGCCGACGACGAAAGGTATAGGTTTTATAGGGACATGGATATTAAGGATACTGAGAAGATTGAACTGAACAAATTGAAGAAGATAATACGACACTACAATGAACCAAGATCTTCTCTGGCCCCTAAAAAAAGTATGATATTAAAAGCAATAAATAAATATTAAAAAAATACTGATCCTCGTGCAGACCGCATTCATGAAAATTCCTCGGAAGTTCCTCCCAATGAGAGGGGCCCTCCAGTCTTGCTGGAAGGTGTGACGTAGGATTGAACGCCCTACGCGTTCAATATTTTATATATTTTTAATTCTGAATACTTGATGGTTGAATGTGTTATATTATTTATTAAGTAAGAAGATGGTCCAAGATGGCGGTCATAAAAAGACTAAAATAGTGAGAAAACTATCTTATTTAAAGCCAACATTTCAAATCCACTTTTCAGGTCTTCTTCAGGTGAGTCTGCGTGCACCAGGCCGTACCACAGTTGAACCTAATTTATTGTTCCCACATTAAACTATCCTTTAATGTTGTAAAATAAGACATGATGTTAACAAAGCATTTTATTGGCAGTGGTGGGTGTACGTATACCCAACGCATTAACCCACTACTGCTGAAATTCCGTGTGGGAGAAAAGAAGGGAGTAGTTTACGCAGCATAGAGTTTCGATTGAATCTGGTTGTAATTTCAACCAAAAATCTATACTGCATACACCCTTTTCCACCTGAAGAATTCCTGCAAAGTCGGATCGAAACGTTGGCTTTAATAAAATTGTTCACTCATGTTTTAATCTTTTTATGACTGCTACGTCGGACCATCTCCTAAGTTAATATTTTTAATTCACAAAACACCAGTCACTTCCTAAGCACGCAGAGAAGTTTAGGTATTTAGCGTCTACAAATTTAGGGGGCCTGAAATAAAAACTACTTTACTATTTATGAATG